TTGGTGCCCTTGTAAAAGATCAGATGGCTGTAGGTGTGTGGGTTGATTTCTGGATTCTCTATTCTATTCCATTGATATGTGTGTCTGTTTTTATGCCAGTACCATGCTGTTTTGGTTATTATAGCTTTGTAGTATAGTTTAAAGTCAGGTTGTGTTATGCCTCTGGCTTTATTTTTTTTGCTCAGAATTGCTTTGGCTATGCGTGGTCTTTTGTTATTCCATATAAATGTCTGGATAGTTTTTCCAGCTATCTCACTGCTGGGAATATACCCATAGGAATGGAAATCATCAAGTCAAAGGTACACCTGTTCTCCAATGTTCATCACAGCACTCTTTACAATAGCTAAGAGTTGGAACCAGCCCAAATGTCCATCATCAGATGAGTGGATACGGAAAATGTGGTATATCTCCACAATGGAATGCTACTCTGCTATAAAAAAGAATGAAATACTGCCATTTGCAACAATATGGACAGACCTAGAGAGAATTACATTAAGTGAAACGAATCAGGCACAGAAAGAGAAATATCACAGGTTCTCACTTACTTGTGGGAGCTAAAAATAAATAAATAAATACACAAATAACCTGGGGGGGAGGGAAGAAGACACAACAATTACAATTCTTTGAAATTGATATGACAAGTGAACAGAAAGGAGGTTGTTGGGAGGGAGCGGGGAGAGGGAGGAGGGAGGTAGGTTTCAGTAATCGGCCACAATAATCAACCACACTGTATATTGACAAAATAAAATAAAATTTTAAAAAAGAAAAAAGGAAAAAGAAAAAAAAAACCTCACAATATCAAATCACTACAACTGGCTAAAGTACATGTAAAACTAACTTTTACCATGTTGTTAGGCCTAGTCCTTTCTTGGATTTCTCCTATAAGTAACCGTAGGTTTTTGTTATTGCTCTACACATCATCTAGAAAAAAATTAAGACTATGTCTCAGTGGCCCAAGACCATAAGCAACACACACACACACACACACACACACACACACACACACACACACACACACACACACACACGCACACACCCCCAAACTGTAAAAGTTGTCCAACTGAATCAAAACTAAGGGAGCAAAGGAGAAAAGACAATTCTGAAGAGCATATAACTCCTCATTATCACTTCTTATGGGCTGAACTATGTCCCCCAAAACTCGTATGTGTAAACTCTAACCCCTAATACCTCAAAATGTGACTATATTTGGAGACAGGGCCTTTAAAGGGATGATTAAGTTAAAATGAGGCTTTGAGGGTGAGCCCTAATCCAATCTGACTGGTGTCTTTATAAGAGAAAACTTGAACACAAAAAGAGACGCCAGAAATGCCTATGGAGGGAGGCCATGAAAGAACATAGCAAGAAGGTAACCATTTGCAAGCCAGGTGAGAAGCCACAGGAGAAAGCAAACCTGCTGACACCTTAATCTTGGACCTTTAGCCTCCAGAACGGTGAGGAAAAAAAAATTCTGTTGTTTTAGCCACCCCAGTCTGTAGTATTTTGTTATGGGAGCTTTACCAAACTAATGCATCACTTAATTTGATTTTTATAATGCATTACATTTCATCCCTCAACTATATTATGGAAATAACATCTCCACTGGTCTTTTAACTGCTGCCTTGCCCACATACAGGTTCGTTTTCAAAACATCACCCAAGTGATCTTTGCTCTGGTCAACTCTCTGCTTAAAACCTTTCTTCCCCTCTCCTTTGGAGTAAAAGCCAAAGTGCTTATAATGGTCTACAAGGTTTTGTATAATGATCTGCCTGTTGTCCCAGCTATTCACCATGCTTCCCCACAACCACCACACACCAATAATTTCTGACCTCATCATTTAGCACTCCTTGCTTATTCCACTCAAGCTACACTGGACCCTTCTAACTATTCTTCCAACACACTAGCCGTTTCCTTTCCTTTATACGCTCTGTTCCCACGTTTTTCTCATATCTTGCTCCATCATTTCCTTCTATTTATCCTCAAATGTTGCCTTATCAATGAAGCTCTCCTTGACCATGTATGTTGGGCATAACTTTGCGCGCATGCGCCCTGACGCACACGGGCGCCAGTTCATGCGCTCCGCGGCCACCATTTCACTAGCGCTCAACGGCACGTAGCTGCCAGCCTCGCCCTTCCGGGTCCCAGTGATTCAGCAACTTTAGTTCCGTATTCGCGTAAAGCCTCCCCACCACCTCACCCTATCCTTTTAAGCCCTTCTTATTGGCTCTTTGCTTGATCTCTCATATCAAA